ACGTGCTTTATCGTTACCGGAACCGATTAGCTTAACAAAAGAAGAGGCGAGGAGCACAGGAGCATCGGACTTTAGGGCTAAAAGTACTTAGACAAAAAAGATATAATAATCCAGTTTGGAAGATGTAGAAACATTCGCTTTCTTTTGAATATAACGCGACGTAGAATACGGGGAAAAAGAGGAAAGAGACCAGAGGGAAAAGATATATTGTATTTTGAAGCGGAACTGTTCCTTTAAATAACTTCAAGATCCAGTAGACCCAATGCGCTTAAAGCTGCGATTATACATTATAATTGTAAGTACAGCTAAAATGTCCCATTCGTGTCACCAAGAATTCAACAACTGAGACTTCTATGCAGCTGGTTTGTGAAATTGGCTTAAATTCACCCTAATAGTGTGAACGTTTGTACAACCCCAACTTTTCTCTTAGTGAGTCAGTGTGGTAACCAGTCTGCTCTAAGCCCTGCAGAAGAAGAAGAAGAAAAACAAAGGAGGATAGGGTCCTACAGTGCAGCACCTGGACTCTCATCACCAACATGCAGACTTTGCTAGAAGAACAGGAAGTTTGAACCCAAAACCCTCTTGCAGTAAGTCGACGGTGCTAACTATTACAACAGTCTCAGGGAAATGCTTGGTTTTCTTAGGCCACCATATTAAAACATTTTGGTAAAACACTGCCATCTGGTGGTGAGGTCTTTTTTGGTTACATTTGGAAAATTGCAAGATCTTATTTGCTGAGAACTTCATTGAAGTTTACTTGTATTTGAACCACCCTCACGTGCCAGTCTTACTGTATTTTATCACTTCTATCATCAGTTGATCGTACAATATGATCTTGATAGAGATATTTTTTATTTTGTTTTGTTTTGTTTGGATCAGTCAGCAACAATGTCACAAAAAAGAGAGAATCCCAAAACAGGAAGAAGACCAGGGTAAAGATCCATTTCAAGTCCATTTTTTTCAGCAGTCACCCAGAGCTAATGACCATGGGTAATGGTTGGCATGTAGACTAGTAGATTGATACATAAATGTCTTTGCTTGGGACAGCCCCAACTCAGGGGAAGCAGTCTGCAGTTTAACAGCAGAGAACCCTGCTAACGTAATGGATCAAACTATTTCTTCCAGCTATTCCAGCTGTCAGAGTGGAAAGCAGGGTAAACCCTGGACAGGTTGCTAGCACATCGTTGAATGTGTTAGCCCTAGAGTAGCGGTCCCCAACCTTTTTTGCGCCACGGACCGGTTTATGCCCAACAATATTTTCACAATAAAACTAGAACCGGTACCGAAAAAAAAAGATTTATTCATAACACATTTGAAAAGACCCAGGAAAACGGGCGGGTAGGGGGGCCTCCCCTGCACCCCTGTGACACACCTGCACACCAAGGTCCTGCATGTGTGGGTGAGTGTGGTGGAGTGGGAAGAGGGAGGCAGTCAGGGATGGGAAGGGAAGGAAGGGAGGGGCAAGTGGTCCTTCCCTTGGGCCAGCTCCCCTGTTGACCCTAGTAGGCACCCCCACCCTCTGGAACCCACCAAGGCAAGGGGTCCAGGTCCATCTGGACCGGGGCCCACAGCCAGCAGCACCGCCCAGCTCCACAGAATCCGGGGCAGCCCACCCGACCCCACCACAGAGAAAACTGCACCCACCCCATCCACTCATCTCCCAGACTACACAAGACAATAGATTAAGTTCATTCTCCATCTCTCCCATATCTCTCTCCCACCTGCAGAGTGAACTCCTGGAGACCAGTGAACTTCTGCAAGGATATAAAAGCCTCCCCACCAGTTGAAGAGCCCCTTTGGATACTTTCTAATAAAGCTGGTACCCTGAATAGTACAGTGTAATTAGATCATAAGAAGGTGAGATTTGTGGATGCTTTATAACAGACTTTGCACTTATCGTAGTATTGTATAATTACTGATGATGTACTTGATAGAATGAAAATACTTTGCCCTTAGCACTTTATTTAACATTAAAGTTACGCTTTGCTTTATTTATTTGTTCCACTGTTTCATGGATATTTCAGTCTCATGGAGAAATATCGTCTGTAGAGTGCATACCTGTTGTAAAGTTATTGGTGAGCCCTCATACAAATCATATGTTATGGCCTTCACGGTCACCAGATCTCAACTGAAGCTCAGAAAGAAAAGAAACAGAAAAAGATTTTATATCAAACCCATATTTCTATAATTTGTTAGTTACTGCTTATTTATTGAGGAAATTCTGGAGTGTAAAATCTGCATAAAACAATACACAGACAATGAAAAATTTACATTTTTAAACTAATTGTATCCATAAAATAACACATCAATCTTTGCTTAGTAAAAATTGTAGTGGGTATATTGTTTATGTGTATAAATATTTATTGTATTTCTTTCTTTCATTTTATACTGTTTTCTTCCATGAATATCTAAATATATCAATAAATATAATAATTTAATGTATTTAACTAGTATCTATTTCTGTTAGAAATTGTAAGAAAACACTATAAAATATAACAAAACCATAACACAATTATTTACACACGTAAAGTGTGAATCCTTCCACCAGGTGGCGCAGTAACACCAGAAAAATCTGTTCATACGGCAACGCCAACAGATTTTCTGCGCCTTTCAGTGGACAAGTGCTAAATCAGTTAAGTGCTTACAATGTAAGCGACAATACACGTTTCATTGTTTATTAAACAATCCTACATATTCGTGGATGTTCCTAATAAATGGATTTGAAACTGTTTAGCCGCGGCTGCCCGGTTACCTGTGCACACAGCGTCTTTAGTGTTTGCACAGATTACAGGCGGATTTTGATAAATTTCAAATAAATTGCTGCACATAGTAAAGTGAAGCCTGCAAATAGTTTCATTTTCAATTTTATTTTCGTGGAAATTCAGACCCAGGAAGTCCCTGAAAATCAAAACAAAACATCAAACCCCCTAAAAATGTTTTTCACTAAACCTCCCCTTTAGGAATTCCCAATATTTTCCAAAGACCGGGACTCGCGCTTGCTCTGCACGTGACCCAAACGGTCGTTGCAGGGTGCTGTTCCAACATGCCTTCTCTGGGGGTTTCGCCGCTGACAGCAGATGCATTATGGAGCCGCTGGAGGGAGTCTGAGACCTGGTTTAATGGGCAGAGAGTTCATACCAGGCTCGGTGAGGTGGACCTGATCACACACAGGGCCACCGATCAGACGTGTGACAGCTCTGCGTGTGATGTTAAAAATGCATGTGACAGAAAAGGGAACCTGCTTTCATGAATGTGAAATATGAAGGTTATAATAATAGTTTTGAATGTTGTTGTAACAAACTTCCGTTCTGCACGCTGCCGTTGCAGGCTTCAGCAGATAAACAGCTCTGATCCTGTATCTAAGGATTATTTTTATCCTGTTGGAGGTAGTGGTGCTGAGCTGAAGCTTCAGAACAACACGTGCTCTGCAGCTGCAGATGGTTTGCAAGAAAACAAAAAGATAAAAATATGTGTGATACAAAAGAGAAACATCAGTGTCATCTGAGATTCTCGTGAATTTCGCCTCGTGCTTATCAGACAGCGCATTTTCCCATTTCTTATAACCTTGCTCTTGCACAACGCCGTTACACAATGTCCGCTCAGCGCGTGCTCGCACACGGGGCTGGTCAGCTGCTCCAGCTTCCCTTTTATAACTTCATTTGAAATATATTTGAATTTCATGCGCGTCTCCGCGGGTGTGCAGGTGTATTTGTGCACGAACACGATGCCAGAGCATTGCCACGGTGAAGCCTTCTTTTATTCGGCCAGTGGAGACGCGGGGGGGGGGGGGGGGTACAGAGATCTGGAAATTCCTCCACTCATAAAGAAAAGCTGCCGGTAAACAAACCGAGAGAGAGGGACAGAGCGGCGAAAGAAGCGTAGGAAGAAAAGGAGGGAGAGAGCGGGGGATTCTCCGAAACCACCAACGTGGGATCACCAGCGTCTTCTGGCTCTCAGCAAATAGGCGCAGAGAACGGGGGATGTATTCATAGCGGCAAACCAATGAACGAACGAGAGGCTGGGCGTGGCCACGCCTACGGTCGAGAAACAGTAATATAACGGAGAGTTTCGGCTGACAGAGGCACAGTTTCTTTCTGCTCGCGGTCTCGCAGTAATCGGACTTGTTACTCAGTTTGATCGTTAACGGACTCTGAAAGGACCTTAACACGATCTGGAATACCGCTGTGTTTGGACGTTGTATCAGGAATTTCATAGTACAGCCGTATCTCCGCGCTGTGGATATTTCTTCTTATCCTGGATCTTGTGGATTATTTTACTGACTTCAACATGACTTTGGAAGAGGTCGTTGGATCAAACAGCACCGAAAAAAAGTAAGTTTCGGCTGTGTGTGATGCGCAATTACGCATTGGCACATTTGATCTGACACTACAGATCGCGTTCTAGTTGAGTTTATAATCCCGGCTTGTACTTTAAAGGTTGCATCTGCACGCTTATATGTAGACTTTAGTTGTTTGCCACAGTTTAGTCGTGTCGTTCGCACATTTCTAACCGCCTCCGCTTCTCTGCAGGATGGAGACGGTGAGTCAAGCTCTGGAGGAGCTACTGGTCGCTGCTCAGCAGCAGGATTGTCTCACGGTTGGAGTCTACGAGTCCGCCAAACTCATGAATGTGTAAGTATAAGTTTGATTTTCCTCAGCTTAATTAACCACGCCAAAGCTTTTGATATGAGAAACATGTAATGACGCTGACACTAACCGGGTCTTTCACCTTCTGTCCCGCATGCAGAGACCCAGACAGCGTTGTACTGTGCATCCTCGCAACTGATGAGGAGGATGAAGACGACATAGCGCTGCAGATCCATTTCACGCTGTTGCAGGCTTTCTGCTGCGACAACGACATCAACATCCTGCGGGTGTCAGGCATGAGGCGGCTGGCTCAGCTGCTGAAGGAGGACACCGAGGACAGCAACAGCAACGAACCCCGGGATCTGCACTGCATTCTGGTCACTGTAAGTGTAAACTTGCTTTGAGCTACTCGAGAAATGATACAAGTTCATGATATTATGCTGTTGTAAGTTTAAAAAAAGTGTTTCCCAGAGTCTAACCGTCCGTCCCCGCCGTGTTTTGCAGAACCCTCAAGTGCAGCCTCTGCAGTGCCAAGCCCTGCAAGACGTCGGCAGTTTCTGTGAGGAGAGCCGATGCAGCAATCAGTGGGTGCCCTGCCTGGAGCTGCAGGATCGTTGACTGGAACCGGGCCAAGCCAAACCGAATCAGACCGCCGGGGAGCGGTGAGAAAAGAGTGAAAACAATCAAACCTGCGCAGAAGTAACGCGGTATGAGTTGTGCTGTGCCGGACCGAGCCAAATCCGAGCCCGATGGGGGAGGTCTTTTTGTCCTCGTGGAGCACGTGAAACGTCGGTACTGGTAGTGGCTGTGGAAGCTGGACCAGACTGAGCAGGAAGTCTCAGTCATGGAGCTGCAGAGGGGGAAGTGAAGATGAAATACCAGGACTTGAGTGACGCAAATGGATGTCACATGATGAACTGAAGAGCTGCATGTAAAGCTCAGGACTAGCTGCGCTGCAGGTGTGGCAGGTGTTCTGCTTACCTGTTTGCTGCACGTGAACTTTTGTCATGATGTGATTTTACACACTGATGTATCTAAATACATTAAATATGAGTCTGCTTGATGTGATGGAAAAGCCACAAGTGAGAAGTGAAGCCACTCTGTGACTTATTCTGTTTGGTCAATAAAGTTCTGATGGAAATATAATCGATTTGTGTGGTTCATCTAAAAGACGTGTGTATGTATGAGTGTGGGTTTGTTTTACTACCTTAAAGGGGTCTTGTGTCCTTTCTGAAGCATAGGAGGACAGCTCTGTCACAGAATCTAGAATTAGTGTCTAGAAAAACTAGCATGCAGTGTAGGGTCCATCAACACATTCTGGCCCCATAAGTTCCACAGGAAACTTATCAAATTCTGCTTAAGGTCCTACATTTGTAGAAAAACAAATCGTTCTGGGTCCAGTTTGATTCTTATAGTTTTTGTAGTTGGACTGCATGGACCTCAAATTATGAGCTATTCCTGCCCTATGAAGGGGACTCGTTAAAGGACATTCCACTAATTTAGGTTCAGTTCTCTATTCTGAGCGTGTCCTACTGGTCTAAAAAACATGCAGAGGACATCTTTGGTATCACAATCTTGTCATCAGAGAACTGATTCAACTATATTAACCTCCTAGGACCTGCGTCCACATATGTGGGCGTCACATTTTGGGTTATTTAGACCAAAATACTCAATTTTGCTCTACAAGGGCCTGATATCCACTTACAAGGACATTATACTACTACTGTTCTATTGAAATTTTAAACAAATATCCTCATATGTGGCTCAGATTTTTCTTAGAATCAAAAATCAGGTAAAAAAACTCTGGTCATTCTTTGCTCTTACATTCATTGGGTCCCAATCAGCCCAAATATCAAAGAGAAATCAAAAACGCTGCTGTGGAAGAGTTCGGGTGTTAGGAGGTTAAATGAAACTCAGCACATCTGTAAAATGCTGACAGTGTTCCAGTGCAAACGGTGCAATCATTTACAAATAATCTGGACTTTATATTTAGCTGATGCAGCTCAATGGGAAAATGCTTGCTTGAAAATCTTCTTAGAAAACTGTTGCATCCACTTTTCAGACAAAAACATGCCTGTGATGTGGAAATGTGGTGTCGTTCTGTCGTTAATCCAACTCAGGTCTTAAGTTGTTTGCATGATGCATATAAATGGTTTATCTTGTCTGTGACTCTGCAGGATAAAAATGGATGAAAACACGGAGGAGTATGTCGGTGGACATCTTCACACCATCTCGGTTTCCATGGTGATGCTTGGACGGTGTGTAGGTTATTCCTGTCCCGTGGGTTTGTGGCTGCCTTGCTCCAAGAAGAAGATAAGAAATAGACAATAATAAGACTTTTTGTTTGTTTTTAAGCTTTATTAATGCTGTTCTTTACAGAATTCCCTAAAATTGCAGCAAAACTTACATAAAATCTGACCAGGGGAAGAATGAAAAACAAAAACAATAAAAAATAAAGAAGTCACCAGTATAAAGCACCAACAACACATTATAACATGTTATACAAAAGCCAGTCTATACGAGTAGGTTTTGAAAGTTTTGAAGGTTTTTTTGAATGGAGAACTTATTGAGTTGATCTCATAGTAAGAAGAACCTTTTCCACAGCATGGGTCTAAATCAGTGAAAGTACTGAGCCTCTGTGTTTTAAGCCCAGACCATGTTACTCTATCTAATGTCAGAGGTCTGGAGCAGGTTTTATTAATGTTTGGATGCACTACACACTTATGGACTCAAGGCTCTAGCTCACAGGCTAACATGATACTTCTTTGATAACATTTGTGGTTCATTTCTGACATTATTTATATTTCAGGACATCAAACATTATTTAAAATAGATGTTACAGCCTGTTACTGCTTCGCTGGAGTTTTCTTGACTTCTTTATGCAAACTGAACCTTTTTCTACGAGACATCGTGTGTATGAACAAGAACACCGAGTTCTTCCAGTTGTGTGCTTGTGTGAAACCGGAGCAGTAAACTAAAGCTGGGCCTGCAGCCAGTTCTGCCCATGATGTCACATCCTGATGTCACATCCTGCTGTTACTCCGCCCGCTTATGGGTTTGATGGGGACTCCACCACTTTGCTGACGCCACAGGTTTGATTGTTTTGGCAGCGACCCGTCCCTGCTGGGGCCTGAAGGCCCGACACAGCCAGCACTCCCAAATTCTTCAGGTGATTGACAGCTCAGCTCAGCCAGTGTGCTGCAAGAATGTAGTCCTGAAATGATCAGCTGGTTGCTAAAGGCAGTACATAGCACTGCACGAAATGAACTGTATGAAATGTACTGACGCACACAGTGTAATAATACAACATGTACAGTTATAGTGCAGTTAACCTCTCTGCTCGCAGTTGTCTTTAGAGACATTATAAGACGGAGGTACGGCACTCTAAGAATCATGAATTGAACACGACTAATTATAAAAACATGCTGTATCAAAATAACCAAGACGAGAGGCATTCAATGAGGTTGCAAAAAGAGAAAACTTCTAAAAAGGCTTTGTGTCGTCTGTGCTATGCCAGCTTAGTTATCGCCTCTGTCCTGCTAGTTTACCGTCAGCTCGTCTGACTGGAAGCCAAGTTGCATTGGGCAAAACACACGAGGCATATAAGTGCTTTCAAATTTACACAGTGTTTTGCTCACACTGTCATGGACGAAGCTTTTTCACACCTTGTCTCTGATGGTGTCATTTCTGATCCTCGTTTCAATCTGAGCCGTGCAACGTAAAGTATCACTTTTGAAAGTTTTAGTTTCTCTTGACGTTAAGCATCTGCTCTGTGCCGTCCAGCTTTCACTCACACTCGTTTGCAGACCTGAAGACTGAAACTATGCTTCCAATAAATTTCAACCCTCTAATCATGTAATTTGAGAGAGTCAAAATGAGTCAATCCTCATAGACTACCATGTTAAAATCTTCAAGTGTCTCTGTGTGTGAGTCTCTGATCTGAACAATTCCACTGTGTCGTGGTGATCCAAACACCAAGAAGAATATCCAAGAAGTTTAATCAGTGAATTTTATTTTCAGCAGCTACAATAATTTTCTGCAAGTGCAGCTTTATTGCTTAATTGCAGGAAGACTTGAACTTATTCATGCTAAAAGTTAAGATGTTATAATTTGTTTTATTCACAGGTGCCATGCAACAAAGGATGGTCGTCCTCGGTTATGAAAGCAACACTATGTAAACATTAACATTAAGCAAGTGCAGTTGCAGTGGGTTACACATGAGGAGCTCACGCCCTGAAGCAGGCAAACTGATCTGATCCAGAGACGTCAGCGGTGGCAGCACAGAGGTCACCGTGTCCCTGATGTGAATAAGAAATGTATCCGCCTGCTTTAATCACTTTACACACCCACAACGATATCCCTGTGCGTGTGTGCATGAAGTAAAAGAAACTGGGAGTGTAAATACCTCACAGCAAGGACACAATGAAATACCTTCAGTGCAGTAATCCAGTTTGACTGCAGTATCAACATGTCAACACTTCCAACTCCTCCACAACTGTGCTTATCTGATGACACTATATCGACTCCAAATCTTTCAGTCCAAGCCTGAGCATATATGCATGGAGGAAGTCAGACTGGAAGAACACCAGGCATGAAGGCAAAACCCTAAAAACAAGCAAAATGTCCTGAAATAATTGATATGTGATTATTTCAGGACATTTTACAGTAATAAACACATTGAAATGGCTTTAAAAATGCACATAGTTTTGAAAAGTGTTGCATATATGTTTTTGTACCAGTGTTGTAACATATGTGAGGTTTTTGTAAATATAATACTTGACTCTCTTACAACTCCATGTGTGACTCCACATCACAACATCAGGTCAAACAGGACACGATGGAAACGAGCCAACGTCAGCAAGCAGAATGAAGTGAAACAGGAATAAAACAGGAAATGTTTGTTTTGATTTCCATTACACAATATTTCTGTCAGCCTGTTATGACGATCACAGATGAAACAATTATAGATAAAATGTTGCCTTCTTGTCTCAGACATACACTAGATCATATAATGCTCTCCATCATGAGCAGAAGAATGTAAACACAAAACTGAAAACTGTCCCAGTTTTTTGTTTTTACCTTGAATCTAGAAAATCCTGTTGCTTCCCATGAAAGCTTGATGTACTATTTGTGCCATTTACGTTCAGCATTCCCACGTCCCCCTTGTGCAACGTTTGATATGTGCGCTCCTGACGGCGTTGGTGGCGTTGACCTGCTAATCAGATCACCAAAGCTCAAGAATAGCAGCGTTATTTTTAGAAGACTTAAAAAGAAGCTCAGTGTGTCACTCTAGCAGCTATTTCTGTTCACAGACGGTGAGGAAGCTCCCTACTCTCTACATCACGTCACCCTGGAAACAGATGGAGTGCACCGATTGGACGGCTGGGCAGGCGGCGGTCTCTATATTAGATAAGGTGCCGAAGCTGTGCTGAATGGCACGTCGGTGTGTTACGTAGGGAGATCCTGCCACCACGTCATTGACCATGTAAGGTTGGTTGAGGAGCAGAGGAGAGCATCAGAGCGATGAGTCAGAGCGAGGAGGAGAGGGATGATGAGGGTGTGAGAGATAGAGATCGCTCCAGCATCACAAACACACAAGCATCTAAGTAGTGAGAGAAAGCAAAAAAGCTGCAATTACTGGCTCACTGACATCGAATTAAACACAAAAAACACATCTTAACATCTTTTTTGTCCCGTTTGGATCTTTAGCATCAGAATTGTTGTCTGAAGGCCAAGAAAGATGCCAAGTGGATTTATTTTACCAAGTGGATCATCATGGCCATATTGGTCCGTTTGACTGACCTTTATTATAATTATGTATTTATTTTATTTTCAGTTGCTACAAACGGGAAAGACATGACTGGGGGATAGGGCAGGGAGAAAGAATGAAAGAAAGAGAGGGAGAGAAAGAAAACAGAGGGGATAAGAGACGGTGAGAAAGGGGGGAGGAAAAACAAACAAAACACCTGGATCACCATCACAATAAACTAGCTAGCAGTAGATAACAGTAGATACTAAATATTAAACGATATTGTGCAGCACGCAAGATAGACAGTGCACAATGTGCGCTAATGTTAAGCATCTTAACATTATTAATTTAACCTTTTACTATAGTAAAGGATGCAAATTTGACTGAAGTCCAGGTT